CGCATAATTTATAAGTACTACTTTTAGCACTAGACACATTATTTAGAGGAAATTGCACCTCATGTTACGTTTTGGATTGGTATTTTTAAAAATGTCAAATTTTAATAATTTTTGAAAAAATGTCGTTTTTGGACTTTTTTGCTCCTCTAAAAAATTGCAATACCTTGAATATCTTTAATTAAAGTTGATCTAATTAGATGGAAAAATTAATACAAAAAAGTAAAAATACATCACACCAAACTCACATCAAAAAATCCACTTTCTCTAACTCTAGTCTCCCCCTCCCCCACCATTTGCAAAAGCAAGAAAACCAAAACTCAAATCTTGTAAGCTTCGGCCTCCGTTAGCTCCTTCTCCTCCCGACTTCCCTTTCTCGGCCAGCTAACATAGCATTTGGAATAAGCAAAGTGACCATCGAAGTCTCTATTTTTGTCTCATATTTTCAATTTCGTTTATCGATTTTCGAGTAGTGATAACAGGGATTGTGATACGGACCCATTGCCATATTCTGAATTTGACATTTATCTTCTTCTTTTCTCTGTATCATTTTACTTGTTTTCTATTTTATTAATTGTTCGTCTTGGAGAGGAGATAGATGAAAAGGAAGTCTCTGACTGGTATGCTTTTATTGATTATTTGAATTTTTGTTTGTACTTCTGTTGTTAAATTTTTTTAGTTAAATGGGTATTGTGTTGATTTTGAATTTCATAAATTAGTCATATAAGTTGGTTTTTGAGGATTATGTATAGTGTTCAATTAGTTCTCTTTTTCTCCATTAATTTGGTTATTTTCGAAAGCTATTATTCCTTTAAACATCTAATTCATGTCAGCACATGGAGAGTATATTTGAAGTCCAGACGAAAGCCATCCATCGAGAAAATATATCATTCTCGACAGATAGTTTCTAGAATTCTAGATAGTTTTACTTCATTTTTCGATAGTTCTAAATGTTTTGTTGTGTATTAAACGACCAAATTTGCTTCCCTCCAATATTTTGCTTATAAATGGCATGGGATGGCTTGCTTTCATTTCTACTTAAACACTTCTCCAACTTTGTAACACTGTTGAGTTCAAATAGATACAATTTCTTCAACTTAATACATTATTTTCGAGTACATGGGTTCATAAGCTCGGACGATTTGGACGAATACAGTGGGGGCGGACATTCAAATGTCGAAGACGATTGAAGTGGTACCTCAATGCCGATAGTTCTCAACTATATTTATGTTTTC